AACTAGGATTAGGCATAAATGAAGAGAAAAACAATTTTAAAATCTGAAATAACTCGTTCCAAATGTATAGTGAATGTTGCTTGGGTGAATATATTTCTTTTTTCCATTCTTTTTTAATTGTGGTAAAATACACCTAATATAAAATTAGTCATCTTAATTATTTTTAAGTGTATAGTTCAGTGGTATTGAATACATTTATAATGTGTAACCTTCACCACCACCCATCTGCATAACTCTTTTCACCTTTTAACACAGTATCTCTATGCCAATTAAGTGGCATCTCCCCATTCCTTCTTTCTCCAGTCCCTGACAACAACCATTCTATTTTCTGTTTCCATGATTTTGATCACTCTCAGTACCTCACATATGTGGAATCATACAGTATTTGTCTTTTTGTGATTGGTATATTTCACTTAGCATGAAGCCCTCAAGTTTCATTCATCTTGTAGCATATGTCAGACACCCCTTCCTTTTTTAAGGCTGAGTAATATTCCATTGTATGTATATACCACATTTTGCTTATCCATTCATCTATGTATGAACGGTTAGGTTGCTTTCATATTTTAGCTATTGTGGATAATGCTGCTATCAACATGGATATACAAATGTCTCTTCAAAATCCCACTTTCAGTTTTGTGGGGTATATCCTTAGAAGTATAATTGATCTATTGTATGGTAATTCTATTTTTTTTTTAGGATTTCCCATACTGTACCATTTTGCATTCCAACAAAAGGTGCACAAGGGTTTCAATTTCTCCATGTCCTTGCCAACACTTGTTAGTTTCTGTTTTGTTTTGATTTCTAATAGTAGCCATTCTAATGGGTGTGTAGTGGATAAATATGCTTTTGAACAATTTCTTCTTTTTGTAATATTATTTTCCACTCTACCCCAGGTCTTTTATCCTCTCCCTTTTTGTTCTCCATCCTCTGCATAAATGTTTCCTGGGTAACATCATCTGCTAATCGGTGATGATGAAAATGTTCTATAATCTGTGCTTTCCTCTGTAATAGCCACTAGCCATATGTTATTACTAAGCGTGAGAATTGTGGTTAATGAGTTTGAGAAAATAAAATTCTAATTACATTTTTTAACTTAATTTAAATCCACCTGTGACTAGTGGCTACTATATCAGGTAATAGATTTCTAGATCCTACTTCTTTCTGAGCTCCAACCTCATTTATCGAACTGTCTCTTTGACAAATCTGCCTAGATGTCCTATAGCATCCAGAGCTCTACAGGTCCAGTGTTGAATTCATTGTGACTTTCTCCAAGCCAGCCCCTAATTTGGTTAATTCAATAATATTAACTTTGCTTAAGATAGAAATATTGAAATTATCCTTTACTCTCCCCTGTGCTCTATGTCCCATATCCAGTACATCATTTGTCCTGCCATTTAATCTCAAAAATGTCTCTCAAACATGTCTTCTGTTTTTCAAAATACACATCACCATTTCTCACACACTGCCACCAACAACCTTCTCTTTAAAGAATTCTCAAAGAATTTTCAACTCATTGACATTAAAATGAAGTTGACATTTCTCAAATGTCACCTCTCTAGTAAGTCTACGAATCTCCTAGTCAGAGAATAAAGCTCCATCTTCTTCCCTCCCATACCTCGTCCGTATTGCTATCATCTATTCTCAGTATGTCATAGTGAAATGATTTGCTTACCTGTTTACTCCCTTGTACCCATTCCTGTGTATTAATTATGTTTGTATTTCAAGTGCTTTTCTTCATCCTTGGCTTATAGTAGGATACCAGAAAGCTTAGATAACTAATAACAATTTATTATGTAAATGCTAAAGATTTGAAAACATAACTAGAAAATTCCTAGGTGTAGAAGGAGAAGTAAGCCTATTTCAAAACAGAAATCCATGGTGATTTTTACTCACTTATTAAAGGATTAAGCAGTTAAGATTTATATTGGTATTTTATTCATGTTTACACTTTGGAGGAATTAGTTAGGCTTTTATGATAATTAAAAAAATAACAAATGCTATTTTTAAAGGTAATTATAGAGGATAAGGAAACACCTCCAACACTGATGCTGCGTGCGTTGCCCTCTGGCAACTTTATACTATACCACCTGGCTATCATTGAAGCCGTGATAAATTACACATTTTGGAATCAATATTGAGTCTCATTCATTACTTTCTGTGGTTCCACACTTTATATCAAAAAGACAAATGCCACGATAAATTTAAACTTTGGAAAACATTTCTCTTAAAGAACTACAGGGCTCCATTGGAAAACTACTCAAAATGAGAAGAACTCACAGGTCACATTCCATGTAAGTGATTGATGATTGATGTTTTAATTCAGAAAGGTACCAATTATATTCGTAAATGTTTTCACTTTCAAATACTTAGAAATTATAATTCAATTTGACATAAATCATATTTGTGATCTATAATAAAAGGTCTAGAATGCAAAGTTAATAACCTAGAAAGGATGATGAATTGCATTGCATGAATACATGTTTACATTAGATGTATATATTGTATTTATTTAATCGGGTAACATAAAATATAGTATGGTAGTGTGTTGGTGTATATCCATTTCAAACTTTTATTGGGAGAAATAAGACAAAGTATCTTTAATACTTCTGATTTACTGAAATATTTTAGTATTGGTGCAATACAAATAATTTTTATGGTTTATCATTTTACAAAGTGCTTTTCATATTTCATACCATTTTTTAAATAAATGACAGTGGCAGAATTTTATTCTGCCTAGGTGGACTTTTATTCAAATTCCAGTGTTATTTCCACAATATCACAATACTATGTGGCATAGGAAGGTACTAAACATGTGATATACCATGATAGTACCACAATTATCCTTATTGAAACAAAATTTTCTAAAGAGCTTAACCCTTCACAAATTAAACTGCAGGCTCCAGTTGTACACACTAACTTATCAGTGTATTTTCAACATTTAATTAATTGGTTTAGTTGTATGCTTTCATGTCTAAGTTATTATTTTTTCTTTAAAGTGAAAACAGAATTCAGAAAATGCAAGTAAGGGCCTTCTTTGAAGACTTTAGCACTAGTACTTTTGTAATATGTTAATAGTTATACTCAATTACATACATATTGCATTTCTAGAGACAATGTATACATTACCTTTTCAATCTCACAGAATCCTGATAAGGAAAGCCATCATGAGTATACTCCTTTTTGATGTAGAAAATAAATTTCTACTAAATAATATAACAAGTTGGTAGTCAAGACAGAACTGAAATTCATGCTCCATGTTTCTTAAAATATGCTGTATTCAACCCCTCTATGTTTATACTTTGATTTTGTTCTTGATCAAAGAAAATTTGACTTTAAAACACCATATCTATTAAATATTTTATTTTATGGTTCCAAAAGTTCTGCTATTGGTGAAATAAGATTAAACTCTGAAGCACAATATTTTCCTTTGGCTTTTGTCTGCAACATGAGTGGTTATCAAAGGTATAATGATTATTGGGGTAACAGAATCAACTTTGTATAATCATAAGTGGTCATACAAATGTCACCGAACTCTTGCTCTTGCACTTAAGTATGTTTTATTTTTCATAGGCATAGAATTCTTCAAATATCCATATATATAAATACATATACATGCATATATATATATATATTAAACTATACTATATATATTAAACTATACTACATATATACATATATAGTATAGATACCATTTAATGCATAAAGATTAAATTATCCATTTAATGGATAAACACACACACACACACACACACACACACATAGCCAATATATAGACACACTTATCCAAATGTACATAGATATGTGTACTCATTCAAATAGATATATAGATATAGATCTATCATCTATTTATCCATCTATGTATCTACCTCTCTATCATCTCTCCACGTATTAGAAATGCCACTGAAATTTTGAATATTAAGTAATTATTTTCTACAGCCACTTCTATCTTGCTTCATCCAAATAGTAAAAGACAATCAGAGGATGGAGACATTAAAAACTAAATCAAGGAGCTAGAATAGACTGGGAAGTAAAGTGTTAAAAATGTTGTTAAGATTCAGCTGTTTTGAGCTTAAAAGATTTTAAGTAAAATGTGGTCCAAACTCCTGTTGTTTCAAAAGTTCAGAAGAAAAATCACGCAAGTCTTAAATGTCAGGGATAGACCTAGGATTTTAGTCTTTGTATTCTAAGTTCAATCTATTGCCACTCTTCGAGTTCAGTTCATTATACCACATTTCCTGTTTCTAAAGAAGAAAACCAGCCTTGTAAAATTTCTTTAAGAAGATTTAATAATGATTCAATCTTTCAAGTAAGCATACATAAATATAGATTATTTTAAATGTTTGGAGATGCTAATATTCTCTACAAACTTTATTCTGAAAAGACAGGTTATGACAGGTTAAACAAATATTTGATAAAGGTAAGTTTAAACAAACAGTTGATAAATGTAAAAATTCATATGATGTCAGGCATTGAATTTATTTGCTCCATACTGTAAAATTTAATATCCTCTATATGATAATCTTACAGCTAAGAATATACAGTAAAAATATGTATGACAATCATAGAGTAATAACATTTATTATAAATGCAGTCTACCTTTTTTATTAAAGAAAGGAGCTTTTTTTAAAAACTCAAACTACCAAGTAACTTAAATGTTGAAATAAAACTTTGAAGATACAGAAATTCAAAGGGTCATTTTGTATTGCCCTTAATCTAAAATGAAGGGAGTATGTTTGAGAATATACAACAAACCTTCTTTCAGCTTAAGATAAAAAAAAAGCTAGCTGTTATATTAAGGATTGATTTTGTGTACAAATCTTCAGTTATTGGTATGTGGTCTTGATTACATTGCTTATCATCTTTACTCCTCAGTAAAATAATAGGAGATACTTAAAATCCTTTCTAGTATAGTCTACAAATAAAAATATATAGATTTCTCTCAATTGCTTAATTTACTTTCCTCCATCTACCAACAAAAAAGAACACAACTTCCCCAAGACTCATAAATGCATTCCTCTCCTACCTTGGCAATGGTTTCATGAAGGTTGAAAAAAGGATCCATTTCTTCCATGTTTGTTGCATGGTTAGGGAAAAGGGCCTCAGAGAGGAAACTTGGACCCTGTGGAAAATCAGAATAGAAACATTTAAAATTCTTCATTGATTTTGTCTTTCAGGTGCTTATTGGAGTCTCTTTAAAGATTCAAAAGAACTCTAAATTGCTTCAAGGTTTCTGATGATTGTTGGACTTCATTATACTTCTCTAATTATCAATCACATAATATTTATAAATTAAATTGAGTAGAATTCTATAACTCTTGATATTATTTGTATTTATAAAATAATGTTTTCTTAGAAGAGATAATTGCTTTGATCCCCCTTTTTTTTTTAAAGATTTTTATTGGGAAATTGGAGGATGGGAACAGCGCTGGGGAATTGGGAGAAGGGGAACAGAGAAGTTACTGTTATTTTGTTCTTCAGTCTAATTGTGGAGGATGTTGCTTCAGTGGCCCAAGTTGGCACCATCATTGCGCTCTTCCCAGGCAAGACAGATCAGTTGCCAGCTTCTGGACGGCCGCTCACTGTGGCTGCCAGCTGCTCTCGCTGGCTGCTGGCTACACACGGTAGCCCATGGCAACCTACTACAGCAGGGGTTGCAGCCTACGCTGTCGCCAGCGACTCATGGCAGCCCAGCTCCAAGTTGAGCTGTTGTTCAGCATCTTAGCTGTAGAGGGCAGTGCCACTGGCCCTCATATGTGGGATCCGAACCGGGGCCCTCTGGCGTCCCAAGCCAGC